GAGAAGCAGCACGGTTTCGGAATAGGTTACTCTTGTCTCACTAACTTATTAGTGGCTCGTGAAAGCTGGTGCGCTCTTAAGGACCAAAAGTTACCTGTGGACGTAGCCTTCATTGATTTCAGCAAAGCTTTTGACAAGGTTCCGCACAACCGGCTGTTATATAAGTTAAGAAATGTCGGGATTGGAGGCAATCTATTTATGTGGATAAAAGACTTCTTAGTTGGGCGCCAACAAAGAGTTCGGGTGAACTCAAAGTTATCTAGCTGGGAAACTGTGCTTTGTTCAGTGCCCCAGGGTACAGTTTTGGGGCCAGTGCCGATCTGAAGAAATTATCTGAATGGTCTCAAACATGGCAGTTGCCGATAAATACTTCCAAGTGTGTTGTGATGCATATCGGTCATCAAGGCACAGATACATACACGATGAATAACACTGAGCTACCTGTCGTCCAGACATATAATGACTTAGGAGTCATCGTTAACCAAGACTTAAAGACTACTGCACACTGCCGTGCAATAACCGCCAAAGGTTTTAGAACATTATGGTCAATAAGTAGGGCTTTTAGTCATGTCGACGCTAAGACGTTTTTGACTTTGTATACAGTGTTCGTACGTCCTAAACTTGAGTACTGCATACAAGCGGCCAGCCCTTGCTTAAAAAAAAACAACGAGGTTCTGGAAAAGGTTGGGAGAACGGCAACTAAGCTGATTCCCGGAATAGCGAAGCTTCCGTATGAATCTCGACTGGCCAAGCTGAACCTTTCCCGTTGTCATATCGCAGAACTAGAGGCGACTTGATTACAGTTTTCAAATTGCTTAGTGATAAATTTGCACCTGATATGCCCTCATTTTTCTTGTCCTCCAAAACAGAGAATTTACGAGAACACTCCAAAATATTTCATAAGGCGAGAACAAATTACTTGTAAGCTGATTATCGGCTTTCCCGTCGAATCATCAACGACTGGAACTCATTACCTCAGCACGTGGTTAATAACTGTTATGTTAAGTAAATCACGTTTATTACTACGTGATCTGATATGTTTTATCAAACCTAAATTTCACTATTGGCTGTCTTATTAAATAATACAAATAAGTCTGGTTGCTTAATTTACAACCAATCTTATTGTTGTCCCTTTTTAAAAGTTGACAGTTGTAATATGTAAAAACTTTGAAGTCATATGTCCATAGGTAATTGTACTTTAATCGACATTGAAATGACTACGATTATTTGTAACTAAGATGAATACATTTGTAGACATCAAATTCCTTAGACTGAATGACCTTATTTTGAAGTACTTATTGTTTTAGCTCAAGAAACGAAACTAGCAAAGGGCTGAGGAATGTAATTTTGAGCGTGTAAACCAAGAAAAATCTCAAGTTCTAGATCGTCTTCAGTTGAAGATTTTTTTATTCTAGAGGGATGTCAACTGGAGAACCTTTGAAAATTAGGAAGTTGTAAACAAGATTGTTGTTCGTACTATTATATGATTTGACTAAGAATGGAACAATGGATATTGAAAAGTTGGCTTAATGGTGGACTGTATTTCGTAAAACCCTAATGTCTAGGATGTCTAGAATCTCATGTGAAAATTGTATTGAAGCTTTGCGATGCTGTTCCCCTTGTTGTTCATTGCTTATTTAGCTTCAGTTTCATCTTTGCCACAACTAGATGGTGATCTGATGCTATATCAGCTTCTCTCCTGGTTCTCACATTTTTCAATTTCATTGTGAGCTTTTTATTGTTGCAAATATTGTCGATCTGTTTCTGTGTAATGTGATTCGGCGAAACCCATATGGCTTTGTATATGCTTTTGTGTGGTAATATTGTGTCGCGTACAACCAATTTGTTGGATTTACATAGATTTGCAAATCTCTCGCAATTCTTCTTCCTTTCTCCTAATCCATGTCGTCGCATGGTATCTCCATACCCGGTGTTTCCCACACCGATCTTGGTGTTTAGATCTGTAGTGACCTACTTTTATCAAGAGAACGCGATTGGTTTAATGGAAACAATTATCATAATAACCAATTGTTCCAGTGATTATTTTACTGTGCTTGTTTGTTTGACTATACTAAAGACATACATTCTTCCTTCCTTCGATTGTGACCTTGCACGAATTCGGTTACGCTCAGTAACCACACTTGTAACCTGGCACGATCTTGGTATTCTTTCGATACCACGAGATCGCCAGTAAATGCATCTTGACTACAGCCATCAACTGCCTACTGATATTTGGCTTACGGGGAATTTTATCGGTTAACTGACACATAGTCTTCCTGTAGTAGTGATCATAGACAAACGCGACTCGACGCCACGCTACAGATATATCATCAGGGTAGTCAGGTGCTTTCCGGAGCTTTCCTCTGTGACCGACTACAGCCTCTAGTATAGTTGATCTTCCCTGTCTCCATTGCTATCAATAGTGAGTGCATAACATTCACTGTGATTCCCTCCTTCTTTGTTTTAAATGATGCTTTGATTGTTCTGGATCCATGAGATTCTCATCCTATAAGTGCATTACGTGCTTCTTTGTGGAGCACTATTACAACTCATCGTCTGTGGGACGGGTTTCTTTCTTCATAACCAGAGGACGCAGGATCTAACCCTTTCTATACAGGTTTGGTCCAATGTGCTTCACGTATTTCGAGCACCACCAGGTTGTATAATCTCATTTACGTCGCTATTTATTTCATCCTCTCAATCTACCACATCGTCCGGATGTTCTATGTACTTATATTAATTGTTGCTCTGGTTGTTAGACGGGGCACCAGCCTCGTGACTTCCGAGTTATCTCGGCTTCCATCATGAAGCGTTATAATTCCTCCTTGAACGCGTAGGGTAGAGTTTGAATGGTTTAAATCTTTTATCCTGGTTAGTGACTTTTAAGCAAGATTGTTTTATACTGAACAGAGTTGCCGACCCCATTCCCAACCCTCCTTCTTTGTGTGGGCTTGGGACCTCCGAAGAATATCGACTTTCACTGTGGGTCGTTATAGTTCTCCTGAATGAAGTTCCTTCAACTCTCAGGACGGAGCTAAAATGGTTTAAATTGTTTATTCTGAGGATTGTTTTTAATGTCGTTTGTTTTCGACTGAATGCAGATGCTGATCCAATGCCCAACCCTCTTCCTTTAGCCGAGCTTGGGACAGATGGTAACCCTAGAACAGCTACATGGGAAGTTTTCTTTACCAGTAACGAGCTGAATTATTATCTTCCTCGAAGTTATGTGACAAACATCAAGCATCGAAACACCTTAAATAATCTTTCGCTTCTTGGGTGACGCGTTGACAGCTAAATTCACCATTTTACTTGAATCCTTTAAGATTGCGATGCCAGATGTGAATCTAAAATGCTATCGTGAGATACAATCAATCTCAACAAGTCTAGTACTTCAACAACATACAACCAAGAACTCGAATTCGAGGTACGTTGTGTGAGATTGCATTGTATCATTATTATTATAGTTTTAAACACAACATGGAATATTTAACTCGACACTAAGTGTACTGATTATTCACCACAGTATATTTGTCGATTTTTTTGTTATGGAATCGGTCAGTTGCCACAATCTTCTTCATAATATGGGGTTTCAAATGCGTTAGGATAATAGATATCACGTCTTATTGAAATGCTAAATGTTCTCTGGTATCTCACTCTCACCTTCGATCCATATGAAAACTTCCAGTTCATCTTTACTGTACCATGAAAGCGCAAGAAGTCTGGTATTTGTGACACACTACTCATTTAAGGTTGAAATAGTTGATAGTCAGCCAAACACGTCTCAAAAGTAATATCATATTGTGTGTTATATTCGGGGTGAAGTTTACCTATCCAGTTGGTTGTAGAACAATTTCACAACATAGCTTATGCTATTTCATGATAAAAATCTCAAACCCTTATCCCGAATCAAGAACAATATATGGAATCTTGCGTCCCTACTAAGGTTCGAAGAGACAGATAATCTGTATCCATTTGGAGGAGTTTTATGTCATCATTTTTTAATCTACTAGAAGAGTGATCTGCAGAAGACTTTTATAAATTAAGTGATTATGTGAAATTCCCTTTTGTATTTTGCAATGTTATTATCTTTTTTTTTAGCAAACTATATATATCAAAACCGTTTTCTGGTTGACTGAGAATTGGCTGAAATGTACTCGACGTCGTTTTAAGTTTGTTATTCTACTAAAAGTACTAACACTGTTCATTTCAGATTTTGTTATTCAACCGTATCTGTTGAGTGATTATTATTGTTTACAAGCGATTGAACCCTGCAATCACTATTAATAAAATTCGCATTCTAAGTAATTAATCGTCCTGTTGTATGATTTCAGTAGTCAGTAAGAGTTTGAACAATTTATAACTAAAACCTTGATTCAGTTTGAATAGTCATTATTTACAACATTCTTCTCGAGTGGCTCCAAATAAAATAATTCTAAAATAGAATCCTTGCCAACAAATTAACTAACCTATTCAACTAGTTATAATTATTATTTTGCTTGAAACCCGTCCAACTGTTTTTTAATGAATGTAATTGGTGTTACTGAAACAACACATCAATCCACAACAACTACTATGATGAGTCCATTTAGAAACCTCAACTTTTACGAAATACATCTATAACTATCTCAAAAGAAGTTATATTCTACTTCTCTAAAACTACTGACTTTCCAGATTAGTCTTTGACCCAATAGTTATGAATACGTCTGCAAGTTAAGTAGTGAATAATGAGATATTCAACAGTTTTCCGTGTATTACTTAGAGTCGTCGACAAATACCAGAGTAATAAAGCTAGAAGTTACATATACCTAGCTCCCTAGTGACTTTTCAATACAATAAAAATAAAAAATACAACGTAATGTGATTGAATTTTAATCAACAGAAAAATGAAATAAATTGTGAGACTTAATATAAGAAACGTTAACTTGAAAATTAGAAAAATCAATCCATTTTTATTTCAGCTGATGGAAAAAAATGTCTCTTTCTGAAAATTCGTCGTTTTCTCATGAAATTTGGGCTCTTCTGTCTATTACAAGAGCTGAAAAAAGATTTTTTAAAAACATCAGCATGTAATTCGTGTGGTTTTCATTATTCTAAAGCAAACATGTCATATGTTTATCCTTTCACAAGGGTACACGCAGATATGCTTATCAGCCGTAGGGCAGCAGCCAATACCATGTTATCTAATTGTGTGTATCGATCGACATGTATTAGTCAAGTTAAGTTTTAGTTGGCATCTGAAATCTTGTTGGAAATGATGTTCCTCGTAGGACTCAAAACTGCTTCACTCGTTGTCCGTCAGAGAATTTACCGTTGAGCTATACTGATCTCAGTTGGTTCAAATTATCTATCTTTTAAGGTGGAAGCATTCCGAATCAAGCTTTTACTACTATTTCATCAAGTAGCTAAACACACATTCCCTGGTGAGCATTTAAATGTTTTATGTACACACCTAGAATAACATAAAATGAATGAACAAACAGCCCCCTGTATTTATGATCTTCAGATAATAAATACGTAACACTATTCATCTCAAAACTATGAATAACTAACGATACAAAGATGAGTTAATCTTTTGTTCAATGAATGCAGTTAGTAAATGAATAAAAATTCAGTGTGACTCACCTGGTACTTTGATACCAGTCTTGTTTGTATGAACACCACTTGGGAGGCAGCTGCAGTCTATGAAACAAACAGTTTGCAAAGAAGTACCAATTGTGGATTTGAATATATCTTTATAACTAGATAATGAAATATAATACTAAATGGATAAGACGGTAAGAAAATTTTCATGCCTAATGAAATACAACATAAATTGCGTAGTATACACCAACTACTCATCAAATAACCTTCTGCTAAAATGTCATGTAACAATGCATTCACATACCAAAACTGATTTCATACAACCAAATTTAGACAAAAAGGTATAACAAGGTTTGCAAAATAAAATGCATTTATTATATTTCACAGTTTCTCATCTGCTGCACACAACCTAAAATTACAATTATTGATATAATTATTAGCAAATGTTCAGCATATTTTAGTTCGAAACGTAACCAAAATTGTAATAACAAGAAGAATAGGGATACAAAGTGTATGAATAAACTTAGTTAAGATCGATGGGTGTTTATATGGTGGAATGTAATAATTCAGAGGTTATTTAAAGGTAATGTGATTAATAAATGATTAGGTAGTCGTTCAACATGATAAAATAAACAAACATGTGAACATCAACATAATTAAGTAGAAGCTGAATATCAAAAGACGAAACAAAAACAAAGATATAAGGTTGAGTAAAGGGTTGAAAAAGAGATTAAACGTTAATATTAATAAAGGTTATTAGATGACCCCCCGATCACCAGGGCAGAGAAAGGCCATTCACACTTTCTGTTAAACGGAGTAACGCTGATGTTTTTATCAACTATTAATTTTAAATGCATTACTTTTATTTACCTCATGTCAACTATGCAAAACGTGTCTGGCAATTGCATTTGTAAAGACTTTACACCGTTTCAGCTATGGGTTCCTAGGATGGTGTTCAGAAAATTTTATAGAGGTCATTCTCTCTTTCCTTCCTATGTACGTGCTATCTTAGGGACTTATAAATTCATAAATGCAATTGGAGGTGACGTCAAAAGAGTAATGATCTACCTTTGAATGGTATAATGAAGAATATGCTCTGCATAGTGAAACCGACTGAGCAGCACGGAAACTTCTTCTCTCCCATAGAATCTTGAAATCTCATCTCCCTCGAACGGAAGGCGAATGAGGACAAGTTTCGTTCCATCAGTTGATTATTTACCATCTATGGGATATTCTTTTCCATATTTCATAATAAATTTCTTCGGTTATCCATTTTTAAAGAGATGTTTTTTCAGAATAGCCAATTATTCATTTATATAATTGATTGCTTGAGGTAATCTACGAGTAGTGGTTGGTTATAGGACACAGCAAATTGGTAACGGAGTTAGAAATTAACGAATTCAACCTTCACGTAAAAAAAGTCAGGGTCATCCAGTAATTGAGTGAGAATTCACTGTACTTATTTGACCCACCAACGTACAAATTTGTCGTCAGCGTCATTGGACGTCATAGATTATTAGTTTATTTTATGTCACATAGCCCGTTAAAATATCATTTGACAAAATCGCCGATCGGAATACCTACTTCTATGCTTGACCAATGATGCGTTTACCAGCACTAGCAGCCTTCAGTAAACTCTGGGTCCTTGTTAGTCCTCAGTAAGGTAACTTAAAGCCTGCTACAGCCCGTTCAGTCCAGAACACAAATCTCGACCTCCTCTGTTTATTTCAGATCTATGTGGTTTATATACAAGCAGAACAGACCGCATGATAGCATAAAATGAAAAATAATAATTATACAAGATTAAGTCAAAAATGGCTGTGAATGTGGGATAGTGTAGCTGATGACTTGTGAATAAGTTAAGAACGGTAGATCGAATTGCTGTAGCCAATAGGTCATATGAAAGTTTATGATAAAAGGGATATATAAATAATCTAGTTACTTAATAGTTAGCCAATAAGAATATATGTAATAATATTCTATGAATAATTCCTAGCGTTTACTATTCCTTACCTTTATTCTTCATTCGGATATAACAGTTACTTATTTACTTACGCCTGTTACCCCCAATGGAACATAGGCCACCCATCAGCATTCTCCAACCCATTCTGTTCTGGGTCTCCCTTTCTACTTCTATCCGATTGTTGTTAGTTCTACCCATTTCTGTATCTATTTCTCGGCGTGATGTGTTCTTTGATCTTCCTCTTCCGATTTGGCCTTGAGGATTCCAAGTAAGGGCTTACCGTGTGACGCAGTTGGGTGCTTTCCTCAATGTGTGTTCTATCTACTTTCAACGCTTCTTCCTGATTTCTTCCTCCACTGGAATCTTGTTTGTTCTCTCCCACAGTCGGTTATTGCTGATAGTGTCTGGCCAACGGATCCGAAGTATTTTGCGTAGACAGCTATTAATAAACACTTGTATCTTCTGGATGATGGCTTTCGTAGTTCTCCACGTTTCCGCCCCATACAGTATAACTGTCTTGATATTTGTATTGTCAAGACCATCAGCCATTCAGTTTTTAATTAGTGACTGGAATCATGCAGAAGGAGAAAATCAATATGTCCACTATTTCCGAGCAAATGTAATTAATTCTTCAGGAGCAGCAGAGTCCATTTTTAGATTCTCAAGAACAGGTGCCTGCACCACTTATGCCAAAATGTTCAATCTAGTCCTGATAAGCACCAGGACATTTAATTTAGTCCCAGAATTTATTTTTGATATAGAAAATGGTCATGCATTTGAATCATGGTTTACTAGAATGAAAGATCTTTTTCAAATGGACCATCAAGATGAAGAGGAAGCAAAGAAGATACGATGGCTGACACCGAAACAGCCCATAAGAATATTCTAAAGATGTCACGGGTATTCGAAGCTTGACAGTTCATTTACACGTAACACCTTTATAATCAAAGTATACCAACCCACTCAAATTAGAGGTTAGAAATGAAGGGGTTTGAAAATATATTTGGAAAGCTGTCGATATGTTGAGAAGTGCTTGGTTTAAGTTGACTAGTAGTTGCGAGGGATGCGTGGCACGGTGTACCCACTTGTGATCTGGTGTTGATGCGTGACTAAGCGCCTTCAGCTAGGGTGTTTCTAGTAAAACTAATGTGTTCAGCATCAATTTCAAAGACTTACAGAACTATTTATTATTGGGATTTATTTACCGGTATACTCCAAATACAAAATTTTATCTTGCCAAAACACCCAAGGGAGTTGATTTTTGGTCAAATCACTAGTATTTTGAACGTGATATTTTATGAACAAACATCATTACAAATACCTCCAGTTAAAAAGGATGCTGATGAAGATTATTTGATGTACGTAAGGAGGATTAATCTACAAGCTGAGTTTCGAAATAAATGTATTTTCAAATGACCAACTTAAATGTTCATTATTTGTTTCTGGATTATAAACTTCCACAAATGCCAATATACGAACACGATTATTAGCCCATATTGAACAAGATGATGAAATGAAATTATAAACGACCACTGTATAGTGTCAACGCCTGCTTAATCTAAAATATGACACAGCAATTGTGGAAACTAGAGAAGAAACTTTGGCGAATTATCATGTTCATTCTGTAAAATCAAGCACGAAAAGTAACGTTAATGTTGGCAATTACCCTAAGTTCAAATAAAGAATGCTATAAAATTGTGTTTTGGCCCAGACTTGTCCTTATCAAAGTCACCAATGTAATATATGTTATAACGTTTTACTAGAGTCATATTAAGCATAATCATGGTATATTTTCAACAATTCCATGCAGTTTAGCTGACAAAAGATACGTGGTTCTGTTAACATAATTAGAGACAGCATCCATTATTACAATCGCTTCTAGAAAGACATGGAAATTATTGGTGAGTCGTCCAACATTACTTACAGAACATATATCTCGTTACGCATGTGTGGATATTCTAAAACTCGTCGGAATGATCGAGTGGATTGTTCAATTTAGAGATTATTCTTTTGATAGGACATGTTATTCAACGAGTAGACATGAATTGGATCCTGTTGGCACTAATTGGATTGATATATACATACTCTAATTGTATGACTGTTTATTGATTACCGTCTACAACAGTCACAGCCACTTTTTGGCTTGATCATGTACAACTATTATTTCCTATTTTATGGTGTGATGTGGTCTGTTTGGCTTGTAATATAAACCAAGTATGTTTGAAATGAATGATTCGTATAATGGAAGCTGGTTTTGGTGTTCTGGACTTAACTAACAGGGCTAGGAGGAAAAGTGGCCAATAAGGATGCTAGGCTGTTCATGCCGATCGATGCGTCATTGGTATGGCACAGTGATAAGATTGTATAAGTCGTATTCTGATTGGGGAATAAGTCACGTGATAATTAGCCGGGCTTAAAAGTCACAACAGTATTTATATTAAATGACTCTTGGATTCAAAGTAACTCACATGCTCTATATGTAACATCCAACGCTAAAACGTTGACAGAGTCAGATCCTTTTGAAAAACATTCAAATTTGCTCCAGAACACATTGGAATGTTGTACTATTAGGAAAGCTATACTGTATTTACAACATGGAGTGTAACCAGTTTTCCGCCCGAAACGACAAGTACCTTATGCCTCCATGAATAAGGTTGATAAAGAACTCGAGCGGTTAAAAAAACTTGGAGTTATACAACCAGTTACTTTCTCATTATGGTCAGCTCCTATGGTTATAGTTCAAAAAGCCAACTGAACTATTCGTCTATGTGGTGATTACTCTACTGGACTAAATAATGCTTTGCAAAATCATTCGTATCCACTACCTTGACCTGAAGATTTATTCATAAAACTTAATGATGGACGTTATTTTGCAAAACTCAATTTATCTGATGTCTGTTTTCAGGTGAAAGTTGATACTGATTCTAAATGTTTTCTGACCATAAATACTCATCTTGCACTTTACCAAAACAAAAGATTGCTATTCGGTATAAAACCATCTCCCGAAATTTTTCAACAGTTAATAGTTATTGTGATATCGAATCTTGATGGTGCTGGCGCCTACTTGGATGATATTGTTATGGATTATTGTCTCGTTTGAATAAATTGCTTGCAAAAATATCAGAGTCTGATTTTCAACTGCAAAAAGTAATTGTGCACTATTTCTTGGATCTTTTAAGTATCTTGGATTTGGATTTGATAAACACGGTCGTCGACCGGATCCGGATAATATATATACCAATAAACAAATGCTTCCGCTGACTGATATAATGGCATTGCAATCATTGTCGGGCATGAATGAATATTATAGCGTATTTATTCTGGCTATGCAGACACTACACCGTCTGTTAAATCAGCTCTTAACAGCTAATACAACATGGAAATGGTAAGATGAGTGTTAAAATTCCTTAGATAATATCAAGAAAATCTCATACTCTCATTTATTACTGACTCATTACCACCCGAAATAGGCGATAGTTGTTTCCACTGACACTTTTGATTATGGTATTGGATCTGTTATCAGCCACCATTTTCCAAAAGGTGAGGGAAAACCTCTAGCTCATCCATTGAGATCTCTAAATGCGACAACGAAAGTATAGTCAAATAGAAAACGTAGGGTTGACTTTGATTTTCGTTATCAAGAAGTTTCATAAAACGACTTATGAGTGTCTACTTACATTGTTTATGGGCCTCAAACACATTCTTTCGATTTTCAGGTCCAAGTTTGGCGTCCTAGTGTTTATTGCTAATCGCTTGCAACGTTTGCCCATGATATAAATCTACAACAAATATCAGTCAAACCGATGCTTTCTAGATTCATTACAAGGCAGGAATTCGAAACGAAGATTTCGTCATTGCCACTGTATCTCTGGAAGTAAATATTAACCAGATACCACAAACCGCAATACAAGTAGCACCTCTGTCAACAAGGGATACTAAATGTGCTAATTAAACAAACGGTGAGCTTAAAGGCGTTATTCGTTATCTCCTGATGGAATGACTTGTTTAACATACTAGAGATGGATGGTGATTTTGTGGAAACAAATTTAATTTTCATTATAAGTTCCATCATTTTTGCATGTTAATCATTCCGACCATTTAAAACTCAAAATCATTTAAACTCATCACATAAAGCTTTATGAAAAACTTAGAAAATCTATTTGATAAGTTATATTTCTAACAGCGAATTTGAAGAACCTACTATGATTCACTGCATTTGGCGTCTGGATCTCAACACGCTCGGAAAATTGGGTTTTAATGGAGTTTTTGAAAAGTGCCTTAACTTTATAAATGTAATTTTGGTCTTCTGATATGTCCATAATTATATTATTCAAATGTCCATCAACCCGATATTTCATAACTGAGAGTATAATTAACTTCGGTTTTAGACGTCGATGAACGCGAACCAATAAATAGTATGATAGACACTCGCTGAATTTCTCACTTATCTTATTCCAACTGAGTAAATGAATTGAACCTTCTGCAATGGCAGTGACTGTCAAGCCTTCCACTTTGGGAAAATCTAAAAATACATTACAGTATGATTATATTTTTCAAAACATGACTTGAGTTTTGAAGATATGAAGAAGGGAAAAGAGAGTTGTCAACAAATATACACATTTAGATACCGTAGATACGTATAAACAATAAACAATGGTATTTTATACAAACATATCTGTTTACTCATTTTGGGATAGGATATTTAAGTGACCATGTGACTGTCAGTTGCATTTATTCGACTCTGTTGGTTAAGTTTTGCTCAGTTGTGGGATTAATTCGAATGTCTTACCTACTAATCAGTATTGTTAAACTCTGAATAAAATACTGATAATCATTACTAGACTTAAATAAAGAATGGAAGACATGATACTGGGAAATAAATACTGAAATTAAAAAAATAGTGATTTTTATTAACATAAATTATACAGACACGGAACTAAGGTTTTTCAGTCATGTGTAGTCATTTTTAAATTATCCCGCTAGGAATAAATTCGAATATGATTTAAATGTCAACTGAGTCGCTATACGTATAAACGGGATAAAAGTAGAAGACATTTAAAACTGCTCAGCTGTCAATTGCTACACAGATGAATTATGCATTATACCAAAATAGTGTAGTAAAGAATCTCAGTGGTGGATACACTGTACATGAGGACGAATCGGACGAAATCGGAAGGTTCACTCTTACTAAACACAAATTTATAGTTACTAGTTGGCCTGAAAACAAACTTAATCAACAATAAGTGAAAATCACCACCTTTTAAAATGAATTATACATGACCTGTCCTTTACGTACAGAATTCAAGCATGGAAACAAAGAAACAATAAAAAGAATGTCGATCTTTCAGTGAAGAAAGTGTTCTTTTGGATAATGATATTTTCTTAAACTGTACAGTCGTAATTACACTTAATTTTACAATATGTACTCTATAATGAGATATAATGTTCACCACTAAGCTGTTATTCATTTCATCACAAATTTAATGCACAATACTCCGTGTTAGGCGGAGATCGTGTAGCTTAAGTTGTTCATCACTGAGGGTGATCCTTTCTTTGAAATACATATTTTATAAAAAAAATCATCTGGATTTCGTCGACTGTCCCCTATTATAGAAGTTACATTTTCATAAACTCGCAATCGTCTTAAGTGTTCCGCTTCCTTCGAAAATCCTACGCAAACGATCATCTCTCTTAAAATCAACTCAGCTTCATTAATTGAAACAGACTTGGCTGACAACAGCGCTGACTAGAAATTATATTTCTAAAACGAATTCACTACTTTTATGAGTCCGATTACAGAGATTTCATTGGTCGGCTAAAATGACGCTTTTGACTGGTTGGAAAATGGTAAGGCTTCTAAAATAAGTTTCATACCCTTAAACATTATTCCTATTAATCGTATTCTATTATTATATTGATCTATAAATATTTGAGACACGTTGACTTATTGACACTTTGGACGGTTTGTATTCATTTCAACACAATGCGGTTTAGATCAGTCTAATGAAGTCCTAAATTCGTCACTAAAATACAACTCTTGGTGATACTAAGTGCCAGTGTCAATATTAATCTAATCCACTTGCAAAGGGATCTACATTTTGCGTTAATCCAATACTACTATTAAACATATCTAGTTGTATTCATTCAATCCCATTCATTCATTACTAGTGTATATGCTAGTGAATTCAATTATTGAAATATTTACTTAAAAACATTTGTATTCTATGTCTTACTAAATTCATTTATCCTCAGCCTTCGATTATAAAGATAACAAATATAACACAAACAATAACATGTTTAAAAGATGTTATTTTGAAGAATGCTCTAAAAATGCACTTCATATTTAAATAATCAATGTATTCTGTCGAAACAAAGCAGAAACTTGGTGATGTTAGTTCTTGAGAACATATTTCGGATCGATTACATTCCGAAGGTATCTATTTAAAAGTGAGCGGGCTAAAATACAAGTGGAAAACGGCGCACGCCAGTAAGAGTGAGCTTCAGAGGGTGCACTTTGTTAAAGGAGATCATTGTCAAGAAGAATAACAGTTTTAATGGTGTGAAACATGTTCGATTTATCCTCTATCCCTTTGCCTTACGACTAGTCGGAAATGTATTTATCTAAACGTGTGATGAAGTGTCTAATCTTAATAAATAATGTAATTTTCCAAATTCGGTCACAAATTGTTACAGTTAATACCCTAGTTCTATTATCTCGTACATCTGTTTAGAAGAGTTGTGATGTAATCTATTGAAAGGGATGTTTATGGATTGGATTTCCAACAGATCAAGAGCATGTCAGACAATTTCAGGTGGCCGAAAATGCGAAGGTCATAAGCTTGATTACGATTAAGTATTTGCAATAAAAATGCAATAATATATAAAATGTAACTATGTTTTTTTTGGGGGGGGATAAAATATTTGATTAGAGTTAAAACTGAAACAACTATGTACGAAATCAGCTAATTGCATTCTAGGTGATAGTTTTTACTCCTTACTGAAATGGAATTGCAATATATGTAGAGCAATAAAAGCGAAAACATGCCTAAATTTTATAATCAAAAATTCATACTCAGCGTCATTCATTAAATGTTGGCGTGTTTGGCAACAAGGATCAAATGACTAGGTTTTATTGAGAAATAATGAGATGAACAGGTGGAACATATAAGGTGGACCTCATGGAATTAATAATAATAATAATAATGTAGGGTTATTAAGTAAGTATATAATTTACATAATCATTTGTTTCGGTTGAAACCGTACTTAGATTTACGTTTGGCAGACAGAAACGTTTAAACAGCTTCTTAACATTAGTTAGCTTAAATTATGCATCCAAATACACTTCTACAATATCTTATACATGCGTAATACAACAAGGTTACCTATCCCATCAGAGCCAGTGTATATGATGGAGTCTTCAACAATCAGGTAACCTTTAGCAACGTTATATGACAGACAAAAATTTTGATTTGCAGATTCATCATTTGACAGCGTTAGCAATCGTACCGGTCGTAGATATCATAGTTGTATTTGGTAGTCGAATAGAGTTACAGTTCTGCATAGAGAATGACGAGGAAATCAAAGAGTTAGCAAGCTATTTTAAAGACATCTTGATCGTGAGACCGGAAGGACATGGAGGACTCATCGAATCGATTTTCCAAATCGCACTGTGAAACTCCTAGGATTCTGTTGTAGAAGCATAAGAAGGTATCAATACGTACCGAACTTGTAGTAGATGGTCGATAATGGACTTTCTATGTGGAATAGCACATAATTCGAATATTCAAATCTAAATACGTTAAACTGTCTTACGAAAAAACGAACAGTGCTGTCAAGGGGTGACATAAATGTTTGCTCGCGCTTGTATTAATGAGAACCAATCCCAAATACGCGTTTGTCTTAAATGTCTTCACAAACGCATCGATCTAGACACTGCTAATCTACTGTTTGTCTGTCATTGTCAAACCATATGTTGAATAAGAAGATCTTTGAAATAGTGTATTCGAAGAGGACAGTCTGTTTAATGCACCATCAAAGCGTGCAAAACAGAGATGAAGTCAAAAAGCCTAAACAAACAGATAAATGGAATAAACGTACATTCGCTTCAGTAGTTTCGTTATACTATCGAATGTACATGAAATATAACTAATACGTACCTAATTTAAATGTCAAAGTTAATTCGACGTATTGTACTTGCACTATCATGTCCTTTTGAGAGGTGGTAGCTTCATTAATTCAGCTTCAATCAAAGTATCTTGGGATTTCAAATCAATTAGCTTACTGGTAGTTTGTTTATGAATGAAATACCTAATTTGGAATACAACCCTTGTAGTTTAACTATCCCAACCACATATACTACAATAAATATCACTGTTCAATCCCATCTACAGTGAAATTTTACTGATAAGCTGTATTGCATTTGCTTCAAAATACTGCGAGTAAAATGACTCATCTGTCATCTGCGGAAACGAAAACGACCTGTATATTGTCTGTTTACATGACAGCGTTTCAATATGTCAGAGAACTTTGTTATTTAAGTATAAAAATACGGAATTACCTTGTTCAGTTGGACACCTGTCTTCTTCATCGGGATCTGGGAGTTGAGAGTTATGAAGATTTTCAAGAAAAATATTCCTTTGATCATTGCCTGGATAATCGGATAAAAATAATAAGTATTTCAATATCACTTTGTCGAACAATTTAAAATTAATGGTCCACTGAAAATGCTTGTATTGTAATCAAATGGTCGTTTCTTGTTTATACGATTATCGAAATCTTGCACAGCAAATGAATGCTGTTTAGCTGTCTGTTTGATTTAAATATCTACCTGTTAACTTTGATCATCATCGATGTTTTAAATGTAAAACCTACTGGAATCAATCCACGCTTCATGAAGTCATCACTTTATTCGTGAGAAATTTAAGGGATAAATGAAACTACGTATATGGTTGTAAGCACACAGTTTACTACTCTCATTTTCCTTATCACTGTTGTATCGTTGTCTACATTGACTCCATTTTTTGATCAACTGTTATAAAGAGTAACAACTTGAATATATATATTCTATTACAAAAGATACTGTACTTAACAACGCTCTCTTCAATGTCTCAATTATAAAAGGTGTTTAACACTGAGCATTGTCGTAAACTGAGATTAACAGGATATAAATTAATCGTGTACATGATGAATAATTGGCTTATTGCTAAACTAAATATCGTCTAGACAACACATTTAATTAAAAGTGAAATTTTAACTGACTACTACATTTCAAAACATACTTTATTCAGCAACATACCACTCTCATAAGAATTCAAAGTTTAAATACAGCGATATTGCAGACACCACTATGCTAACAAACCAATGGAGAAAACACACTCAAATTCTAAAGACTTATCAATTTGACAAATATTATAGCTTGGTTAATTTTTCTATATCTTTACAAATCTACAGCGCTTGAAGCTGTTAAACACAATATGCACTTATGTTGGGTGCGTATTCAGCTTCAGTTGCAAACTGGTTTAAAACGAATATTACTACATAGAATTATAGAGATTATGCATTTAAATGTCATTCACCATATATTAGTTAATACTTACCAATGTTATGTGGTATAGAGCTGACTTCGGTGTAACCGGAGTGATCTAAGCATTGAAGAGTATAAGATGTATTTGATTTCAAAAAATTTAATGATGAATCCCCACTTCCTCTCTTGTATGTGCATCGGCCAGCAGTGTTTTGATAACTGCCAACAACAGAAAGTTTACAATCACTTCCAGTTAAAGTTTCAAAACTGCAGTAGTGAGTTACTGTTCCAGTTTTGTTGTCGGTCAGTGCATATTGTTTCCAACTACCCTCTAGTTTCCCATCTAATTAAATATATACACCCATTAGGATAAAAAAATAAAACTTCAATCAATGGAGCATAGTAATTATTGAAAAAATTAGAATATAAAATGCTTGAAGAAAGGATCAGCTGCTGAAATAATTACAAGCATTCAGTAAGAAAAAAAGTGCCTAAATGAAGATTATTTTATTTTCAGATCTTCTATGTTTACCAGTTTATGTACGGCGTAGTTGGTGTTAAATGTGTGATTTATTTTCAATTCGACGACTGATTAAAACATTAACTAAATCATTTTGTGATGGCTGATCAAAAGTTATTCATTTGATCCGATTCTCTTGTATCTACACCGGCCCCATAATAACAACAATTATATGAATAAAAGTTAAGTAACAGAAGAATTTGTGGAGATCACTGTTATGTATTAGGAATCGGTCCGAAGTGTTTCAGCCATACCTGTTTTTCGGCATCAAGACTAACATAAAATAAGGATTATTTCAATTTTATCACATTTTTATGACGAATCAAATCATTGATTTATTGCTTCATAGAACTGTTTTTGTGATAAATTTTAACTGGGAATGATATTTGTGCTCCTAATACGAATCCTAATATGTACAGAAACAAATTTTGTCACATAATATTTATACATTAAACATTTTGACTGACCTTCTGGTGTAATGTTAAAAGTACTCGTACTTAATATTGTTCCATTAAAACTGATTTGAACAATGAAAGGTTTACAATATATCGCATGAAGAGGTATTATATTATCCGAAACATTCCAGTTTATTACATGACCTAATGAAGTATTCACTATGATTCCAGGCATCATTTCACCAGACTTTTCACTTGAAATATATATTGTCCGACCAAATCTGTTTATTTGAATTTTCAAGTCTTCAAATAAATTTTTCACTGAAAGAAATGAAAAATAAGCTAGCTAAAAAACTGATTTCCGTATATCTGTATACATAAGGTTGTTATATTAATTGATAATTAAGTATGCACATAGCCTATCAATAAAGTGAAATCAAAATAGTATGTGTAGATATAATTATAAACTTCACTAGTATAGGGGTCGTGGAGATTATAAGGTTTTTGATTGAGATCATGAACCGATTGATGTTAGACCACCACAATTGAATACTTGGAAGCACTGGACGGCCGTTTCGTCCTATTGTGGGACTCGTGGATGCGCACTGCTGAGGAGTCCCACAATAAGACGAAACGGCCGTCCAGTGCTTTCAAGTATTCAAGTGTGGTGGTCTAACATCAATCGCTTCATGATCTCAATTATAAACTACACATTTGACTTCAATGTGAAAATTAGGATTAATTTATAAATTGTTATCAACGGAGAATTTCTCGAATCTATTGGAAATTAAATACCATTATAGGACATTATACAGCTTGTTATCCAACAGAAAAATAAACTGTTGATAAAATAATCGTATTATTGTTTCCGTTACACAATAATGAATAAATAAAGGTCAGAGAAACAAATACCAGATAAACAATTCTTATGCATAAACGTTAACTTTAAATTATAAGCAAAGATGGATGGTTGCTAGCAGTGGAATCCAAGACGCGAGTTTCGTCCTACTTGGGAACAATCAATATTTAGATCATTTCGTAACTGGAGATGTGAAAATAACTGTTCAAAATTAAATGCGAATATTTATTATGAAAGCTATGAATAACTGTTTCTTTTCATTAAAACAATACAATGATGTGATACTGTTGTAGTGTTTAAAATATGATTTGTTGAATGCAAATTAAAATTTCTTAATAGCATACTTTCGATGATGAAAATGACTGATATAAAACATAAATGACTGCCAACTTACAAAGTTACAGAATAAGGACAACTATTATTCACTAAAAATATCTAAACTGGTACCTTAGAAATACAAAGTATACTAAAAAACACTATGGAGGAACGGACGACATATGTAAATAATCTTATAATTCCACAATCAGATTTACAAAATAGAAATAACTTGGAAACGATTTTAGAAAAATAGAATACGTGGAGTTATATAATGAAATCAAAGTAAAAATTTCAAAGAAAACGATAGTATTGCGTTAAGAACAAATTAAAGTAAAATTATGACGTTTCTTAAAATGTTCAATGAGGCAGTGATCAATCTATTGAGCAAATCAAACTACGTAAACACAATTCAGCATTTACAAGTTATTTCAATTTCAAGTACACGAATCTTGATGACCCTGGTATAATCTATTTAACAGAATTGTGACACTGACGATCACATAGTAAATGCTCTGTTTCTGTATAGAAAATAAAACTTCAAATAATGTAAATAAATCATACTAGTCAATTCTACACAAACAGAAAGCAGATACGGACAGTCATGAACCAGATTAAATGTCGGTAGTGATGCTAACATGTGTATGATAAACGGTCCAACAAACTAAATTATACAGGGAATTCATTCGATTTAATGGATCGACAACAAATTTATTTGTTGACAATTATTATAGCCATAACTCACTTACCCGGAATGACCTGAATAGTGAGCAGAAGAGTTAATAGAAACATGGAGACACATCTCATCATTTCCGTATCTTAATAATTACAAACACTAACCACATTCATTCAATTCATATTTATATGAACGCGAAGCAAAATAAATGACCGATTTCCAAACAAAAAAATGAGAATATATTTCGGATTTCTTACTTGTGTCTATTGTCTTGTTGAATTAGTCCTTTTGTAATGAACAGACATCACGGAAGTAGTTTGATATTTCACGTGCGTTTCGAGTCACTATGTGACAGTATTTATGAAATGAAACACAACACATTCACTTTGTAGTATCTCGGCTAATTAAAATATAATCTGTCTGGAATTATTCGGAAGTTCACAGTCTCTAGATGACCGAATCGGATCTATGAGCTGATCAAAACCGTGTTTTTCACTCTATGTTAAACCGAAATATTGAAAAATATCAAAATGATTTTCATAGATTTTATTGTAATAAAAACGTGTTGTGAAAGCAGTCTTCATGACACAGACTACTTATCAGAGTCTCAGGTATTTGGTTTTAATGTGATATGTGTTGACACAAATGGCAGGCGAAACTCTGGTATTTCCTAACTAAGGAACAGCTGTTGAAAAATACTTATTTATATTAAAATTAAGGTACATCGACGGTCAGTAAGCTGAAGCCAGGTCAATATATTTGTCATTTAATAGTTTGGATGCTAAACAAGTTTACAAAGAAAATTCACCAAAATCTGAGGATAAAGATAGGGACAAGAAATAATTTTTAAAAAAAATGACTTTCAGCTTGGCAAAAAATATTATTTCCCATATTGTAATTTAGAACAACATATAAAAGCGAACAATATTGTTTTTACTTAGATCCTCATCAGGCTTTACTCTAATATATAGTAATATTCTTTTAAGGAATTAATAAAATAAATGGTTACTTGCTCCGAACATACACGACTCACTTAAACCCACTGGATCGAACACACTGCGAGTATATGTTTTAACCAATGTGTTCAAGACAGGTCTTCCTCTTCGTCCAGTTTTAGATATGTATAATTCGCCTCATCATAAAGCTGCAAAAAGGCTAGTTCAAATGCTAGATCCCTTACGCAAAATAGTCGTCAAGACAAGCGTGAAAGACGTCTTCGATTTCATTTCCAAAGTGTAACATATGAACTTAAATGTGAAACGGATGATATCTTTAGATGTCGCCCCCATGTTCCCTAATGCACCTTTAACTGAGACTATTGACTTTGTGTGCCAACAACTACTTGATAACCAAATCAGTATTGGTACTCCCGAGATTAGTCTCAAAGATTTACTTTTGAAATATACAATGAATGTCCATTTTGTCTTTAGTAACACATATCATAGATAAATTGATGGCATAGCGATGGGCTCACCTCTAGGTACTATCCTTGTGGATATTTTTCTTGCGAAACTAGAAAACGGACCTCTCAAATATGTTATAATTAAGCTTGACTTCTACTGTCGTTACGTTGATAACACTTTCATTATTCTCTATCAGAACATTAGAAAAGAACTATTAGAACTATTTAACAACAAACATCCAGCAATTAAATTTACATTTGAAGAGGAAATAGAAAGTTTAAAATAATTTTTTTACAAGTATTATTTCTTGTCTCTATCTTTATCCTCAGATTTTGGTGAATTTTCTTTGTAAACTTGTTTAGCATCCAAACTATTAAATGACAAATATATTGACCTGGCTTCAGCTTACTGACCGTCGATGTACCTTAATTTTAATATAAATAAGTATTTTTCAACAGCTGTTCCTTAGTTAGGAAATACCAGAGTTTCGCCTGCCATTTGTGTCAACACATATCACATTAAAACCAAATACCTGAGACTCTGATAAGTAGTCTGTGTCATGAAGACTGCTTTCACAACACGTTTTTATTACAATAAAATCTATGAAAATCATTTTGATATTTTTCAATATTTCGGTTTAACATAGAGTGAAAAACACGGTTTTGATCAGCTCATAGATCCGATTCGGTCATCTAGAGACTGTGAACTTCCGAATAATTCCAGACAGATTATATTTTAATTAGCCGAGATACTACAAAGTGAATGTGTTGTGTTTCATTTCATAAATACTGTCACATAGTGACTCGAAACGCACGTGAAATATCAAACTACTTCCGTGATGTCTGTTCATTACAAAAGGACTAATTCAACAAGACAATAGACACAAGTAAGAAATCCGAAATATATTCTCATTTTTTTGTTTGGAAATCGGTCATTTATTTTGCTTCGCGTTCATATAAATATGAATTGAATGAATGTGGTTAGTGTTTGTAATTATTAAGATACGGAAATGATGAGATGTGTCTCCATGTTTCTATTAACTCTTCTGCTCACTATTCAGGTCATTCCGGGTAAGTGAGTTATGGCTATAATAATTGTCAACAAATAAATTTGTTGTCGATCCATTAAATCGAATGAATTCCCTGTATAATTTAGTTTGTTGGACCGTTTATCATACACATGTTAGCATCACTACCGACATTTAATCTGGTTCATGACTGTCCGTATCTGCTTTCTGTTTGTGTAGAATTGACTAGTATGATTTATTTACATTATTTGAAGTTTTATTTTCTATACAGAAACAGAGCATTTACTATGTGATCGTCAGTGTCACAATTCTGTTAAATAGATTATACCAGGGTCATCAAGATTCGTGTACTTTTACTTGATGTTTGCATTTTTTTAGATTATTGGACTATTCATACTGCATCTTTTTGATATCTTCTAATTTGTAATTAATTTTTGTTTTTTCGTACGGTTTTACTGTTTATATGTTCAACACGTGGAATCTTCAACGTTGTCTCTACATGCGGACACTTGAATTTTTGGTTTTCTCACTTTTTTCAACTTTCTTGTCTTTTAGATTTGAAGATTAGACCTTTATATCGATTTATTTCATCAAACATAAATTTTATGTCAGGTTTATAATTTCCTACACCATTTAGATGAGAGAGGTCCGTGGGTGCCACTTCTATGTTGGGTGGGTTCAGTTAGGCTTGTCGATTCAAGAGTTCTTTGAAGTGTTCTACCCACCTATTTTGCTGTTCTTCGATGTTGGTGATTACTTTGCCTTCCTTGGTTTTCACTGGTTGCTCTGGTTTACGATAATTTCCAGTGAGTTTCTTAGTTGTATCATACAATTGTCTTATGTTTCCTTTTCTTGTAGCCTTTTCCACCGTCATTGCTAGATCTTAGACATATTTACGTTTGTCGGTTCTGATGCTTCTCTTATATTACTAGTTTAATTCTGTGTATTCAGCCTGTGCCTTGGCTTTCTCTGCTCTTGCTCGGCTGGTATTGATTGCTGCTTTCTTGTTCCTCCTTTGTTGAATCTTATTCAATGTATCAACAGTAACCCATTCCTTGGGATGGTGATGATGTCTTCATATCTAATATTGTCCATCCCGACCTTGGTGTTTAGGTCTCCCATGAGAATGTTCAGGTCCTTTGTTGGGCATTTCTCAACGATTGACTGCAGCTTGTCATAGAATTGATCCTTAACATGTTCATTGTAGTCGTTGTTAGGCACATAGCATTGGATGATGTTTTATTGTAATGCCCTCTTTCTTTGTTTAGAAGGAGGCTTCGATAACCCTTGGTCCATGAGATTCTCATCCTATAAGTGCTTTTTGTGCTTGTTTGGATAGCATCGGTAAAGCTCCTTGCGTATATGGGGCATTCTCTTCTTCATGGCCGGAGTATAAAAGAAGCCCCCCCTGAAGCTAGTCTTTGTTGTCCAACTTTCGTACAATGTGTTTCACTGATCCCAAGCACCACCAGGTTGTATCTGTACATTTCTGCAGTAATTTGGATGACTTCCACTTTGTACGAGTATCCCATGTACCTAAATCAATGGTTGCTCTGGTTGTCAAAAGGGCCATCAGCCTCGCGAATTCCGAAGGAACTCGGCTCTCAGCATGAAACGTCATAACTCTTCTAAATGATGACCTTCTGACTCCCAGGGCAGGATTCAAATGGTTTGAATAATTTTTCCTGGTTAGCGTTTTTTAGCGAGTTAGTTTTCTACGGGATGGGGTCGCTAACCTCATGCCCGACCCTCCTCCTTAATCCGGGCTTGGAACCGGCAATAGCCCCAGAGGGGCACCAGGCTGAGTTAAAATCTTCACTAACAGAATATTAATTATTTCATCCTCAGTAATGTTCATTTTTAGGATGATGTTACACTATTATTTACTTTGCAAACACAGCATTTCCTTTAATAATTGTAGAATAAGCGTATATAATAATACGCGACTTGATGAACAGTAACTTAAGTTTTCTATGAATGGTTTAAACTAATATTCATACATTTTATTTTACCACATTTCTCCCTTTAATGTCAAAATCACTTCTGCAGCAAGGACACTATCCCCCTTCGATTTTCACATAAATGGAAGTGATTTAATTTTAATACGGAATGATTACTTCTCATTTGTAAATCCTGATGGATTAGTCATCAAAACTGATACAGGATTCACAGCCAATACTTCATTGTTAAGCGACATCGTCATTCCATTAAGAACTTGTCCTACAAAAATAGTGCTGAATGGTTATCAAGCTTTTGGATCCGAACCAATTACACTGACTGAAATAACTCCATTCGTCTTAAAATGTAAGTCAAATGCACAGTGTATTGTGCGCTTCTCCATTTTATTTTGTTCATTAATTATTAACTGATGGTATACTGAATATATTGCGATGTTCCAAAACAAGCGTCCATTTCCTCTTATTTGAACAAATGGTTTCTGTTTTTCTTGAACCAACTGTCCCTTCTTTTTAATGAAACAATGATCTAATCATCAACTGTCTACAGTGTGTGTTTCATTTAATACAGGTTCGTGAGTTAAAGAATATATTCCAATCGCATCGAGCGTGTGAAGAGATTAACAGTCATTCATTGAAGTATTTACAAACATTTGAAGAAAAATACAACGTGATTTCCTAAAGCCTGTCTCCGTTGATTCTAGATTCACAGTATGAAAGTGTGTTTATCCTTCATTTTGAAATGTTTG